TTTTTTTTTCTTAACTCGTCAGAGAAGGGGGAGTTTATTAAAACTTGAACTTCACAGCTTGCATCACGTCAATTGGCCTATGCGAGATACACCACTTTCACAGGATTTCAAATACGTTGCATGCTAATGTATAGAGTTATGATCTCATTTTCCCCCACACGCTGACTGAAGGCATGCACTTTGATGTGTAACGATTGCATTATTAGAACAATTTTCCGCGGTATTGATGATCAGTATTGCAGACGTCAGTCATATGACCTTTACGATAATCCTTGTAAGTGTTGACAGGAACCTTGCAGTTACATAGTGCTGAGTTACGAAAATTCTCTACTTTTCAGTCTTTCTCTCTCTCGCTCTTCTCCGACGTAAAGGAGACATTTGTAAACATAGCTCGGCAAGATGCTACGACACAAAAGGGGCAATAGGATCGAAAGAAGGCTGGGAATTGAGGAGATTTACGAATATGACGAAGTTGCAAATTTAAAGTCAACCAAGACAAACAGTGACGTAGCTCCCACCTTAACGTGCAAAAAACGGAACCTCACACGTGAAAGATAAAAACAGTTATCGTTATCTTCACTGCGCGCGATGAAGATATAGTTTTTTAGTAAAAGGAAAAATCCTCGTATTTCATCAGTATATAATAAAATAAGATCAACAAGTTTCTCGCTTGCATGTGAAGGAGACTATATAGTGCGAAACAAGCAAACGAGTAATTTGAATGTAGTCAATGTTTATTTACCTAATCAAATTCTCCCAAGAGGACAATAACCGATACAATCACATCACACCTTACTGCGTGAAGCGTTTATCTTTCAAAAAGCTTGTAAGCTTCTTGGATCTTTTGATAAACACTCTTTTTCTCGCTATGTCAATTTAAACATCTAAACTAAGACAAGATATATGAGCGTTGCGTTCGTGATCTGTATGTGCGCATGTTTGTATTGTCCTGATTCTCAAGACAATCTCTTTGATTATGATAGATGACTAGTAAGTTTACCCGGTTAGGAATTAACTATAAGACCGATTTAAATGAACTGGTGTTCTATGAAGTGCAAGTAATTTATAAGAAAGTCTTTAATCGGATGAAGAAGCAATATTTTTCAACATTCAACTTTTTCAAGTTTATAAAAAGTTTGAGCTTAGAAGCTCCCTTTTACTAATTTGAAACTCTAGATTCCGTCTCTTGAAGTTATCCAGCGCTTTTTCCATAACCTGAATTTTTCTCTCCAAAGCACTTCTCTTCTTTTCGGCTTCTCGCCTGCGTAAAATTGCCCCTCTGATTTTCTCTTGCATACTTATAACTTTGGCTTCTTGGTCGGACTGTGGAACAAGTTCCTCTTCAGGAGACAACATTCCTTCAGGCCTTTTGGCTGCTAGGTAACGGTGGACAGATAACTTTTGATTTATCAAAAACGCACGGTTAAGAGCTTTCTGTTCTCGTCGCTCTGCGTTTTCAATCTTAGGCTCCAGTATGGCAACAACTTGTGACATTCCCTTGTTCATTTTCCTCAATTCCATTGTGCGCCGCTGTGATTCGTGAAGTTTACGCATCAATTCCTCTATGTTGATCGTGGATTCTTCGAACACATTTGCAACTCGCCCATTTTCTCGGTATTTTTCCGCTATCTCTTTCCTTCGCCCGTTCTGGTAATTAATGCGGTCTTCGATTTTTCTGATCTTTGCTTCTGTCTCTAAGATCTTTTCAGACATCTCCTTCATTTTGAGTTTGGCTTCGTGTTCTCTCCATCTTGCAGCCAGCGTTTCCTGTTTATCCCTCTTGATTTTGTTCTCTGTTGCCTTTAAATCGCTTTTCAACTTGTTCATCTTCTCTTGAAATGATTTAATGCTGTTTCTAGCGGTCCCTTTGTATCCATCATCAACCACAGACGACATTCTAACCTGAGAAGAGCACTTACTTCGACAACAGAAATTCTCGTCAGTCTCCGATTCTGTCAACCCTCTTTACTATATCATCCGGGCTACGATTATGTCCAGACCTGGTTTGCGTGATCAGCAGAGTGTTTTTTAAGTAGATGCAATTACTCAATAAGTATCGAATAACGGAATAGTATCTCTTTTTCCTGTGAAACCTGAACTGATAGAGCCTCACGGGGTCGTCCTTTCTGCGTATCGTAAATCCATGTCATGAAAATACCGCAGGCAGGAGAACAGATTGAAATTATTAAAAATAAAATGACCTCATTTAAGGGTCAATTGCGCTTTGCGCTAAGTTTTATTGCACAATTACCCGTTGTTAGATCCTAGTCTATAGAAATCAAAAGAATTTCTAACATTTTAAGCGATGTAAAAGGAAAACTTGGATCAGGCATAAATCATGTCACAAAGTTTGATTTCTTTTAGAGCCCTCGAAAACATTTTTGGATCACGCAATCTCAGGCAACACCAGTTTCAATCAAAGAGAGCTGTCAAAAAAGGCAAAATCACGCCACCTGGCTCGAGCCCAGGTGTCATAAGTAACGTGCAGCAGAGAAATGCGAGGGAGAATGAAATGTGATTGGCTGAAAGGAATCTCGACTTACTTCCTGCATAGTTATAGTTAGTAAGTAAGTAAGTAAGTAAACACTTTATTTATTGAGGGTAGCACTAAATTGCTAAAAGCTAATAAACTTGTGGCCCTCAATTAAAAATAAGAGTAAATATCAAGCTAAATAGTAAAATGATTTGGACTACACTGTTCTTTAATAATTACATTTAAAAGACTCTTCCTAAATGCAAGAAAATAAGAGTAAATATTAAGCTAAATAGTAAAATGATTTAGACTACACTGTTCTTTAAAAATTGCATTAAAAAGACTCTTCTTAAATGCAGGAAGAGAATCTTTACGTCTTAATTCTAAAGATGATTTATTCCATAGTCTGCAAGCTCTGACTAAGAAAGACTTTCCACCTTCTGTCTCGCGTATATACTTAGGACAAACTAAATTAAATTTAGCATACCTAGTATTTCTAGAGTGGACTTGATTATTAACAGCAAAATTTTGAATTAAGTAATTGGGTAAGGTACCTTTAATAAGTTTATAAACTAAAGAATAACAGCTTACCTTATTTTCTTCATAAAAAGGAATCTATTTCAACTCATTAAATAAACGTACAGATGGCGAATCTGTAACGGCAGACAGAATAACCCAAGCCGCCCTTTTTTTGCAGCTTCAATACTCGACTCTTTATCACAACATGACCAGATAACACTAGCGTAGGTAATTATAGGATGAATTATCAATTTGTAATATAATAATATTTGCCTAGGAGGCAGATAAACTCTGATTTTTCTGAGAAGCGCTATACGCTGCGAAAGCTTATTACAAATTTAATTTATTAACATGTTGACTAAACGGTAGGTGACCATCAATGTCCAAACCCAACAGAGTAGCATTAGAAACATTTCTCACTAGTTCATGATCACTAAACTTCACTGATGGTTGAAAATCCAACTTGGATTCAAGTCTTTTGCCAGTCACGATTATTACATTTGTCTTGTCTACATTAATGGGAAGTTAATTTGTCACAGCCCAGGTTTGGATTGACGTCACGTTCAAGGTTATGCTAAACTTATAGTCGGCAATGAAATAGAAAAGTTTGAAGTAGGAATATTTTCAGGATAACTTTAAAATCCTTGTACTAAAATCTTCACATATCCTTTATTCTGCCAGTCTGAGGTCCCAGTGTCGGAGGTAATCATTACGAAAGGGATGTTTAATCGCGACTGTTTGAGAAGAAAGATGTTCAACAACTGGAACCAATCATGAGGAGGTCCCTCAAGACACGTACGTCACCCATTGTAATTTTCATAAAATGATCTCATTTGAATGCATATTTTACCCAACAAAATCGTGCAGCTTTACTTAAAAAATTAACGGCCAAACACTTAACCGAAAGTTTCTTTTACGAGTTAAGATGGGTGTCCGAGATCGGGCTATAGTTTACTTTGACGGCGTTTTGAAGTTATTAGGAGTAATTCATGGTATGTTCGGCGGCTTGTTGATTGTGCTGGGAATCGTGGTACGGCTTGTTGTTTATCACTGGACCAGCGAAATGCTTCTTCCCCTCTGGATTGGAGTCATAGTAAGTGAAATTTATTTGTTAATGGAGAATGGGACTTAATTGATGACTTAACGACACTGACTTAAAATGTCGTGTTTGTATTGACAAACTGATGATCAATTACCTTTCCGCGGATTAAAGTTATAGAATATCAATAAAAAAAAAACAAACAAAAACAAAACATATCTCTACAAGATCAGCTGATGATGGCTCCCATTAAGTTCTCACTAAGCACCACTCCTTTTTTGACTCTCGGTTTCTGGAAAATTTGCTGCATTGACGGCCAAAGAAACTAATATTGAAAAAGGACGAGTCAAATTCCTCTCTTTCTCTTAACTTAATTAAAATATAAAATACAAAAAAAACATAGCAACAGAAGAAACTTCTGGTGAGAGACACAAAACGCATGACTACCGTTGTGTGATATGCAAATATGTAAATAACGTAAAAACAAAGGCTGATAGTTTCTAAAGAAACTGTTTGGCGCTGCGTCGGTGGGGGTAACGAAATAATTTGAATATATCAACAAAGTTGAAATATGGTAAATTGGCCACCGTTACGGTTATAAAAGCTGACGTTTCGAGCGAAGGGCTAACGCTCGAAACGTCAGCTTTTATAACCGTAACGTATGATGCATGATCCTCGCAGTAGATAGCGCTATTTAAGCAATAGCGAAAATCAGACCTGAAAAAAATAAAGGCCTGTACGGGATTCGAACCACTGACCTCTGCGATACTAGTGCAGCGCTCTACCAATTGAGCTAACAAGCCAACTGGGGGCAGGCCGTTATGTTGATTCGTAATAAACCCGTCAAAGTGATAAATCAGATACAATGAGATATATGAAAGTTCATATATTTTGAACTGCGGTATTAGAAACGTATGATGCACGATCCTCGCAGTAGATAGCGCTATTTAAGCAATAGCGAAAATCAGACCTGAAAAAAATAAAGGCCTGTACGGGATTCGAACCACTGACCTCTGCGATACTAGTGCAGCGCTCTACCAATTGAGCTAACAAGCCAACTGGGAGCAGGCCGTTAAGTTGATTCGCTATCTACTGCGAGGATCGTGCATCATACGTTTCTAATACCGCAGTTCAAAATATATGAACTTTCATATATCTCATTGTATCTGATTTATTACTTTCACGGGTTTATTACGAATCAACTTAACAGCCTGCTCCCAGTTGGCTTGTTAGCTCAATTGGTAGAGCACTGCACTAGTATCGCAGAGGTCAGTGGTTCGAATCCCGTACAGGCCTGAATTTTTTTCAGGTCTGATTTTCGCTATTGCTTAAATAGCGCTATCTACTGCGAGGATCGTGCATCATACGTTTCTAATACCGCAGTTCAAAATATATGAACTTTCATATATCTCATTGTATCTGATATAACCGTAACGGTGGCCAATTTACTATTTCAACTTTGTTGATATATTTAACTTATAACGCAAAAACAGATTAACATCGCATTTTTATTAGTTAACCAGCATAACAAATACCCCAGAAGAGATTACGATAAATTCTTTTGATTGAGCGAGTTGAAGGCTCAGGGTTAGTTATTTCCAAGCCGGTTGTTGTCCCAGCGTGCCTTAAATTAAGGTTGCTATGCGGCTGAATGGATAACAAGTGCTCTCACAGTTAGTGGAGATGTTGGATTACGGACAGAAAGCAGAAATCAAAGATGAAAGTCAGTTTATGCTAGCTGAAAGCTCTCAGACCGTGGACAATTTGACGAATTTTTTATTTCACTTTGTTGCTAATTAATTGATGCGAACTTTCTGTTGGTCATTCAGAGTGAAGTGGATGGAATCAGCTATTGAAACTTGTGCACGATCAGGTCTAAAAAATATCTTAAAGAAAAAGGCAGAGAAACTCTACCAACGATGGCGCGGTCGATTATTCGTATAAGATGACTGTACATGTGTCCGTTTTCCGTTTTAACTGGCGAGTTCACTTAATGACAGAATTAAACAAAAAAATCAGCGCAAGCTGACTCGATCTCAGTTGCGTGCATCCTTCAAAGTCAAAAAAAATAAATAAATAGATAACTAAAAAAATAAACGGTCTAAATGAGTAACTGCCCTGATAATTTTTTTTCGTAGATTGCTGCCACAGGGGTTATTGCAGTACTGGATTCCAACATGGAGAACGCAGAAAGCTCCAAAAAGTATTATGTAAGTTCACGTCAACCCTAAGTTAGTTTATCTAATTACATAACAGTGCCAAGATTGATTACAATGAAAAGGCTTTCAAAATTCAAGTGCAGGCTTCCCGGCCAATTATTTTTCGGCGCTCAATATGAAATTTAGAGGCTTCCGCATGAAGTCCTCGATTACTGATCAGTTGATTATCCATCTATGTTGCTTTTTAGTGGCACATGTACCCTGACTTCAACTTCTCTGCCACATGTCTTTTTAGATATATACCCAACTTGTTTTACAATGTATGCTCTGTTTAACCCATTTGATATCAGTATTTTTGGTGTTTTCTTTGACCAACGAGGTGCTTCTGAGTAAGTGGATGATTATTCGGTATTAATCAACTGATCAGGTAATTCATGTTTTTTTCAACTTCTTCAATATTTTCATTTCAATTATCAGTTGATCGACTTCCTGCTGTTGTCAGTGGTATCGTTGCTCCTGTCCATAATGCTGATCATCTGTTACAGCATGGCAGTACACACGGTATTCACAGGTGAACAAGTCGGATCGTTCAGTTGGTATTCCTACAACAGAACTCCTGATCAGAATGTTACACGAACCAAAACCTTAACCACATTTGTGCTCTTTTTTTCTTGTTTGGAGTTTTTGCTTTGTCTTGGTTCCATCGCATACGTTAGATATGCTTATAGACGAGACTTTAAAAGGAAGCCGGTAAGATATAAACCAGTACAGTTTGATATATGAGGCAATATAGTAATCTGAGATTGCTTTTGTTTTGCTTCAGTGCGCTTTTTCATTTGTTACAGAAACTCGCACCTCCCTCTAAACCAATCAGATACAAAACTAAAACCAGTCGTAACTTGATCGACCGCGTTTTGACTCTTCATTGGTTCTTTTAATTCTATAGCTTTCCTTTGTTCCAATTTTGTTCTTGTATTTGCCATAAATGATTCTGTTACAGTGGACTAGTTTTTCCTTACCAGATTGTACAATTTGTTAAAAATTGAAGCTTAGCTCCATCATTAAAAACAGTTATGACTTAAATGTTAACATAGTTTAATTGATTTTCTCTTTGTCTGTTTGCATTTCAACAGAAATCAAGAATTGAAGAGAATGCACCGTATTTTTCTGCCAACGATACGAACGATGCTACTCTTTTCTAGGAGCAGTTTCAAAAAGCTCCGGTTAAAGTTCCTTCGTTAATTTGTTAATCGAGTTCAGTGGAATTATGTAACACAGCTCGACACACTTTTAAACGTCTCTTTGGCCCAGTCGCAGTTTTAAATGAAATAGAATTATATTAATGATTATAATGGGTAGATACATTGTAATACACTTACACAGGAGTCTTGCACAGGAGCGTCATTTTAGTTACATCCCGCATAGATTCAATAGGCCTTGCACGTGTTATCAGAGTAAACCCACCGTTGATAATCAAAGGAGATGGGTTTAAATAGAAAGACCGAGTTCCCTAATTTTGGTGTAATGTCACCAAAATGATTAAATTAGTAAAAGAGATCATTTTCGATTGTAACTTTCCTGTAAATGGGTTGTTGTAAATGGTTTCCATTTGATCGTCGGGATTGTTGTTAAGAAAACCGGGCCAAACGATTACTCACGAATTTAGAGATCGGCGATTGAGACGACAACGTTTCGTTCGGATAGAATCGTGATTCTTCATGTTCATTCGTGTTGAATTGATAGTCTCGAAAAAAATCTGTCGAAACCAGGTTTTAATGCACAACAAGAGAATAAATTCTCTTGATATACAAGGAAAGCTTTCATTAAATCTTTCCAATTTGGTAATAAAACAGGTATATAACAAAACAAATTTCAGGAGTAATTCTCACAAAAGGAAATAACATCCGCTGTGGAAAATCTGTCTTTGTCTTCATGAACCTGTTTAAACTCTCAAGAGTCTGTTACGCGTTTGGCATAATTTCAGTTAAGCGCGTGCCTAATACATGATACTCGGGTCACCTGTAATCTTCCAGCTAAGCTCTCGTCACCTCCAAAAATTGGACACTATTTGATAAGTCTAGCGCAAATTTCTCAAACTTTAGAGAGCTTTGGTCGTCATTAATAGCCTTGGGGGGGGGGGGGAATGTCGGAGGACTTTGGTTATGTCGTGATAAAATGCCCTGATCCCCTCTAAGGCTCAGTTATATTCTTATGATCCCTCCAGAGCCCCTCCCCCACCTCATTGGTAGCTAATTGGCTGTCAATATTTTATAGCCCCCCCTGTATACTCTGTTGTAGACGACTGATCCCCTCTTTCCCCTTGAAAACCATGCGATGTTCAGAATTCTCCATTCCCTTCTCATCCCCCCATGACAGCGTGCAGCGTGCTCAAATCGTGGACTTTGCACCAGGCTCCGCTCTTGCACCGGTGCAAGATGGCGGTTCTAGCGAAGGCTTACTTGGTGCTGTACAACGTTGTACTGACGCTTGGGTAAGGATCAGATCACCTCCCCATAATCCAAATATTTAATGCAAGAGGCTTGGGTATAATTTAACTAGTAGAGAGTAATTTTTTGCGCGGTATATTTGGCCATAACCCAGGTGTAAACAGCTTAACTTTCATAAAGCACGATTACTTGTTTTTTCGTTGGTGCAGCTCAGAAAATATAGGTTTCCCTTAGCAAGCCAAAGCCTAAGACTACTGCAACCAAGATTTAATTTCAGGCGTAAGTTTTTCAGTGATTTCTGTGTAAATCTCTGATTTTATCGTTAGATTTATTATTCATGATCCTATCAAGTGAGGTTGGTTTCTTGTTCCGCTGTCTGCAGATTGTCACGCGCCTTAAATTTTTTTATTTCGCCAAAATGGCCAAATTTCGTTAAATAAATAATTCGTACTGTGTACGCCAGATTAATTACATTCTATGCCCCTAAGAACTTAGATATAAAAGTTGATTGGTGAGGTATTGCCAAGCAGTTGATTTTTATCATTATTATATTGGCAGATAGGTGCCATTATTTCCTTAATAACTTTAGCGATGTTATTTTTATTTTGCAGATGGGGTGTGATTCTAGTCCTCTCAGTAAAGCACTTGACAGAGAAGAAAACCAACATTGGGCTTTACAACTCAGTGGAAACACCCCTCAAGATATTTCAATCTGCAGCCATCCTAGAGGTGAATGATTATCAAACCTACATGAATAGAACTAAGAAATTAGAACATTTAATTTAGCCGTGTAGTTAACAATGCAGAGTAAACAGCATTTTTCATAAAATAAAAATAACAAAAACAAAAAAAAAAAAAAACCAACGAGTTAAGGGTGTTTAAGGCAACCTTTCTGATGTCAGCTAGAATATCTTTTTTAAGTTTGAAATTTTTACCTTGAAGTATGCTTTTTGTGAGGTGTAGAAAATATCCAACATGACTTTTTATTTCCTCCTGTTCCAGGTATTGCACTGTGCAGTAGGTATGTAAGATTATTTATGAGGGAAAATTTGATCATTGTTTAAGAAACATTTTACCAATTTGCACTGCATGCCTATGGCATTGTGTAGTAGCGTTCTACAAAGGCTGGCATTTTTGTCACTCTCAGGCTGTAAGCTGTCATGTGCTAGCCAAGATAAGAAAATTATTTCTGTTCTCATTGAAGGGCTTGTCATTGTGAGTTACTTTGTTTAGTATGAGAAACATGTTCCCCGTTTGCAGTTGGTATAGCTTTAATCTTATGGTACAATTTACAGAGAATAATCAGGGTCTAAATAATGACAAAAAACAAAAAATATAGCCACAAACTCTGGTATAGGCTCTAAATAAAGGCTTCAACCTAAACTTGTTTTTAAGCTGAAATATCGTGCACATTTATAGAGGGTTTAATAGTTCAAATTTACTTTCAGTGGCATTCTTTTTTTCCCACTTGTAGGTCTAGTGCCATCTTCAGTTGTTATTACAGCATTTCAAGTAGCTTCAAGACTCTTTTTAACCTGGGCAGTGGCTCACAGTGTCCCTCAAGTAAGTATTCATCAAATCTTCACGATAGCACTGATTTGGTGTGCTTAGAGCTTTGGGTATTATTATTTCATGCATATGCCCCACTGCCAAGTAGCTAGTTTTGTTTTTTAGCTCCAAGAAGATTTCCTATATTTGTTTTGATGAAGGGCGAAGGCTCCAAACTTCAGCTTTAAAACCTTGTTGCAGAGGCCAATTTATATTTATTTATCTACTCAATTGATAAGAACAAATTGACATTTTCTCCCCTAACCTAAATGCCCTAACTGGTTCCATTCCCCAGTCATTTTGAGGTTGGATTAAACAGTGACATGAGATGGTATAAACAGACTATACATCAACAGATATCAGTTTGAGTTGTTGTGGGATAATGTGGGTCAATATATTTGCTTCAGAGGTTACTAATATTTCATTAGTTAGATTTTTTGTGTTTCTTTGCTCTAGGTTCATGACAATGCTGGCGTGGCAGGGTTCATTTTTGCTTGGTCCATCACGGAGGTTATTCGCTATTCATTTTATGCATTTTCATTGTTGGACAAGTTGCCGTACATACTTCAGTGGTGCAGGTTTGTCACCCTCTACTCCCTAACTTTAGTATTCATAATCTTCACAGTGTTCTTTTTACTGTTCTTATGGTGCTGGCAAGAAGAATTTTTTTGACGATCAAAAACTTCTCAAATTGATGATCATTGCCTTAATTCTCGTGACCTGTACATTAAATTAAAGATAGATACTTAAAGGAATAATTAAAAGCCAGTCACTCATAGGGATTAAAAGATTAACAGTCAGTTGGTTAGGATTTATCGCAAAAAGTTTCTCGTCATTTGTTTGACAAGCCCATAAAGAAGAAGAAACTGCAAAACATAGGCAGTTCAGGGGGCATCTTCAACTGCCGGTTGAAGTAAATCTGAGATCATCTGAGAGTGCATTGGTTTTCCTTTGCTTGCATCGTGCTAAATTGTATTCTCTATTGAAATTCCGTAATTATTTAAGTGGCTGAAACTAAAACATGTTTTTGTTGGCTCTTTTCACAGATATACTTTCTTTTATTTCCTTTATCCCATTGGCGTGACAGTAAGTAGTAATAAAGTTCTAATTTAAGAGGAAGTAAAGATTTTTCTAGGAAGTTACTTGTCTTGTTCGGATCATTTGTGTAACTAACATCATTCAACTGTACAACTATCAGTTGACCCTATGCACTCTAACATGGCCATCTATATTCTCTATACTGTTCTCTAAACATTTTCTAAGGTGCTGACGAGGAGAATGTGTTCACATACCAAGATTTTCTTAGTTAGATGCTAATCGCTGATATTGTTGCTTTCAGGGTGAGCTGGTGACAATATACTCCTCTCTTGGTTATGTTTCCAAGTCTGGTCTGTACAGTGTGTCCATGCCAAATCGTCTCAATTTTTCCTTTGATTTTCATCTCTTCCTAATGGTGGTGATGTTCTCTTATATTCCAAGTAAGTGTCTCAATGTCGATACACTTAAATTTTGGAGTGATTTTCAATACTGGACTCACCGTGCTTAGGTCCTCTCCTTTGTACCTTTTCTCTAAGGCGCGCGTTGCGCGACAGTCGTTTCGGGATGTTGGCCCTTTTTAAATGTGAGCGTCACGTGAGAGCCGTTCTCAAGCATGACCGACGCATGACCCTCTTTCGAGGTGAAAGTCCCTCTTTTAGGATGAGCGTTGCGTGATTTTCGTTCATTTGAATGTTCCCCCCCTTGGGGTAACAATGTAATGAATGACTGCTGGCCTGGAACGACTGTGTAGGAGACTTAATTTTCAATTAGACGCCAGCGAAGACAATTGTAGAAATGGAAGCCTAAAATAATAATATTAAAAAAAAAAAATTCAGGCTCTGATAGGGATTGAACTCTTGTCCCCTAGATACCAGGCCCCGCAGTACGTTTTGCTCTCACTTGTCCCCTTGACAGCGATTTATCCGTTGGAAAACGTTATCCGTAGCCTGAGTGTCAGGCCTTCCTAAGGGGCTAGGGGAGGGGGAGAAGAGAAAGGAAGTTTCTTCCTTTCGCTCTCTCCCTTTCTCGCTTCTCTCTTACCCCTTTCCCCAGAAACGCTCCCAGAAACGCCTGATACTCAGGCTACGTTATCCGCCGTTCACATACAACTGGGCCCAGTCCTGCTCTACTACCTACAAGCAGAGATAGAAAGCTACAAGTTTGGAGGAAAGGCAAATTTTAGTTGGTTTGGAATTTTGGCCAAAAGAGTTTCACCTTTTCACGCAAGACAAGCGCGCAGGATTCCACATCGGTAGACTATGACCACAGTTTATGGAATGAAACTGTTCAAAACCCGTATGGGTTGTTGGGAATCTGACGAATTTGCCGTGAAATGTCTTATAAAAAAAAAAATAATAATAAAACAATAAAGAAACAAAAATTTCTTAAGCTGACAAATGATAAATATTCGCTTGAATTTCAGTCTTCCCGCAACTTTACTTTCACATGATCCGACAGAGAAAGAAGGTTATTGGTGGAAAAGTCAAACCGCAATACCTTGAAGTTCCAACCGTCCAACTGAAAGGCTGGGAGAATTTTAGTCAAGATGCGTTTGTTGATTTTGTGTGTTTTGAATTTAAAACTAAGTGACTGGGGTGGCAAGCCACGAGTGGAAAGATTAGTTGAACTGTTGTGCATTATTGGCCCGTTCCTCAAAAGTCCCGGTTACTAACGGCCCCAAGCCATACTCTAAAGCTAAGCAACAGTGGTTTGGGTCTTGCATGCAGCTCAAAAGTTATTTCCATAACGTTACATCAGCAGATAAATTTATCATTTTAATTTCAAAACTATCAGTATCGCGATCTCTATAACAACACAGCAAACAAAAATCATTTTCCGGGATCGATGTTTACCGGAACTTTCGAGGAATTGACATTAGATACAGTTGGCGACATTGGTTGTCGCATGAAGTGTGTGAAGTTAGCCCTGGGTGTTCTCTGCTTCCAAAAAAAAATTGGCTGTGATTCATTTTAGCGCTGTGAATTGTTCAAAATTGGACATGATACAGTTGCACTTACAAATGAGGCTTGCACAAAAGTCATCTTTGTCAATCGAAGCTAATACCCCCACTAGCGTCCTAGAAACGTTTGTCTATGAAATATTTTTTCAGTTCTGAATTAGTTTTTCAAAAAATATATATCACTTGAATTCTTTTATAAACTACGAGATGTAATTTAATTTATTGATTGAATATGGTAAAAGAGCCTTAAGGACATAGCAGTTTGAATGGTATTTTTTTGTCAGAATAATTTGTAGAGAGCATGCATTAAACCTAGACGCATATATTATGTATATCTCAACACTTCGGTCGTCGAGCAATTTTTTTGCGAAGTTATTTGCGCTCTTTGTATGTTTAAGGAATTGAGTATATGTGAGGTAATTATAGTGTTAGAAAACAGAGTTTGAAAACTAAAACAGAGGACACATTTTTAAAGCGATAAGGGAGCTCTGGAAGACTAATTTAGATTTTATAAGTTTGGAAATTTGCACCTCGTCGCTTGACTGCGCTAAAACAGACGCCTTCTATTTTGAATCAAAAGCGATAAGGGGCCGACCATTTAACTTTTCAGGGGGGGTGGATGATTTCTGGTCATCAAGAAAGTTTTTTTCTTGCAATCCGCTGTGCAGGATATTTTTTTCCGATTTTTTGGTACATTTTTCCTGTTACATTTGGGTTGCATGCAATTTTTTTCTTCCAACAAGCGCTTGCAGGAAGTTTTTTCAAAATCACCCACCCCCCCTCAAAAGTTAAATAGTCGGCTCCTACTGTCTTGTATTTTCTAAGCCAGTAAGATTTCACTTACGCGATTAGATTTTTCTAACTTGAAGAGTCTGCAACGTGGAATCCAGAAAACGTGGAAAAGCTAAACACAAAATTAAGATTTGTTGAAAATTTAAAGCAAAAAAATATGACAGATTGCATTTGTTCAACATAGGAGCGTGGGCGAAGCTGTTCGATTCAATAGATAAGAGGAAAATTTAAAAGGAATAAAAACTCCCAAAGGAAAAGGTTTCATTGCCTGCAGTTCTTTTATTCTCCGGCAACAAAATAAAATTTCTAAAATAGGTCTGTTTCTTTTTCCGATGAAGGGAAGTCAACTTATTTACTTTCTGTCGCAAATGAAAGGGAGGTTTTCAAACACAGGTGTATGTTGAGGTGAATCATACATTTTATGTGGTTACTATTGGCGACCCTTTATTAGCAAAGCTGTCAGTCAAATGAACCTACCATTGTCATGCGTGTAGGATGTTTGTCCGTCAACAAGAATTATGCGAATTCGAAAATTTTTACCGTGGCTCCGATGATGAGTTTGCCCTGAGTGAAATTCTACCCTTCATGGGTGAACTTGGGCTTACAGTGAAATTTAAGCGGTTGTTACCGAAGGGAAATATCTCACCAGAGCCGCGACAACAGAATGACGGACAACAAAGATAATGTAAATTGGAGTAGATTTGGTTTGGATCCTGTTGGGCGATCAGAGCCTTCGCCTCCAAGACCTCACGGCGATGAGTCGGTAGAAGTTACAGCCAGTGGAAGTACATCTTGTGGTAATCCGAATGTCAAAGATCTTTTTGATGAAGATCAGGTTAGTATGAAAAAAATGGCGGGAAACGAAAAGAAAATTCGTTACCGTTGTCAATTTTATGATCATCCGTTCTCGCTCGAAGGAACGACTTTCATTTGCATATTAAAAGGATTCTTGTAGTTTTAGGGGTTAAAACAAGCAGTTATTTCAAACGAATAGTTATTAACCAAAAATTTTTGTGAAAAGAGAACACAACAATTTGGAAGGAAAATTGGGATAAACCTTGACTTGAATCTAATATTTAATTAAGTTTCTGTATTTCCATGTAAGTAAGCATACGTTCCCTCATTCGCGTGTTTCGGCAGCTGGCTTCAACACCGGCGAGTACAGGTTCTTCAATTTGTGTTTTGATTTTATAAGTACATGAAAGACTCTTTAGAATACATTTTACTCTTTGTGATTAGAGGGAAGGTAAGCGATTTCATGGTTGATCTAATTTTGATCAAACGTGAAATTATTCAAGAAAAAAATTGAAACAAACAAAATTGTACTTGATCGAACGTGTTCTTTACCCGACCTGAATTGTTAATCAAAATTTGATAAAATTTAAATTAGACACTCCGATAGCGATTACTGATTTCATGAACAGTATGCTTTTTCTATGCATGTGTTACGATGAAAAAAGAGTTTTTTTTTTCTCTCCGTTCCATTAGCTTTGAACAATATTGTTAATTTTGTCTAGCGTGAAGATGTAAATTTCCTGAGATTCGATCAAGAGGAACCAATTCGCACTGACAGTGCCCGCACTCGAATATTCTATTTAACAATAAACCCTTTATACCCCATATAGGCTTATCCTTTAGAACTGGACAAATATCGAGTTCGCTGGGAAAGCATTTTGATAATTTTGTTATAGAGAGAACTTCTGAAGATCCAGATGAACAACAATTCTCGGTCGATGTGAGATTAAGTTGTTTTTTCTCAAAATGGCCCACGGCAATATATATGCTGTCTGCCAGAGCTTTTAATATTTATTCAGAAAAAGTCTATCTTTGCTGTTAAGTACTTTGCATGAGAATCTCTTTTAACAGATATTTGACCTTTCTGTCCAGACAAATCTTAGAAGCCAAAGTAAAGGAGCTTTTGCTGTTGTCGAAAACATAATGACAGACAGCTTGCAATGTAGATAACATTATAAAAAGTTAGTTCATATACCCCACTGGTGCAAAGTGCTTCTCATGCATGCTGATTAGCTAGTTCAAAAGTGATTGGCAAGTACCATTCATCTCCAATGAGCCTAAGAGATAAAATCAAAATCTCTCTCTCTGTGAAAGTGAGGGATATATAGATGGTTTGCATGTTATGTCATTACTGCCATGTTGGTGGACGTAAACAACATATCTCATTAGCTTCTTTTGTTTGTCTACCAGCATTTGTTCCTTTCACCATTGTTACCTGTGTCTCTAGAGATTGGTTGCAAACCATCTCTACCTCAGTGCCTCTTGGCTTGGTACATATTCACCCCTATCCACCTTTAATTTGATGAATAATTAATTATTGATTAATATATAAAATGTCCTTAATTAATTACATTAAGGGGGATCAAGTGTCTGAGAAGCCATGGTGGAAGGCAAACTTCTTTGTGAGGGAGCCAGTGTTATTTGGAACATGGGATGGTGAGCTTTTATATTAGTGGGATATAATAAAGTGTATTTGAATTACTCATGATTTAGAATCATTAATAGGATAGGTGCTTGGCTGCCTGTAGCAGGAATTAAGATATTTAGTGATCTAGTACAGGTACCCAACTTGGGAGGCTCCTTTACTCTACCTGCAATTTTCATGACATTTTATTTTGTGTTAATGTTTATCTCACTTTAACCCATAACCATAAGTTATAAAACTGTAACAGCTTGCTACAGACTGTCAATAAGGGACTTAATCAAATTGTTTTTTACTGCTATAGCCTTGGGCACTCAGGCTCCGCATGCAAGAATTTCACCTATGGGTTATAATTCTCTATGCTATGCTGAAAAAAATCAAGATCCTTGTTGGTAGTTGATGGCCCCTATAAACATTTTTGATCAAACCACCAGCCACCCTTACAGATATAAACTAGCCATCAACATTATTCACACGCACACTTCATCGACAAAATTCAGGAAATGTTTGCCAATCCCTTTGCAAATCTTGTGAAATTCTTCTACATATTTATGTATCACAGGACAGTTGCAGTTTTCAAGTGTACTGATTTAAGTAATTGAAAGTAAACTGAATTTTTTGTTTAATTTTTCTTTAATCAAAGGTGTATTTACATCATGTATGCTGAACATCTTTGGTGTGGTTATATTTCTCAGGACTGGGTGGATGGTGGTATGTACCTATAATATCTATTTCCTTTTAATATAACCACACTAACAATAAACAAGCAATGTGTCCAAGCCCAGTTATAAGGCAGTCTCAATAACCCTCTACATGCTAACATCAGTTTACATTTTCTTCAGACTGTTCTGACTATACATTTTCTAAGGTGCTGAAAAGGAGATTTTGTTTAACAATCAAGAGCTTTTAGTTGGTGATCATTTCCTTTATTCTCCTGACCTTAATGTTTGATTCAGGGGTGGTATTGTAAGGAGAAATTAGATGCTAGTCACCACTAGGAGTCAAAGGGTTATAAAAAAATATTATCCCAGATGATCATGTAGAGCTTTTGTGCTAAATGTTAAGATTTCCTTACAAAAACAACGACAAGGAAGGCATTCTTTGTGTAAATAGTTTTATGCATGATTAGTTATAAAACCATTCCAAATTGTTATTTTTCATTATTTTTTCTCAGGGTAATGCTGGCATTGGGCTGTCATTGTTGATTATTGTGTTAACTCTGTTGGTTGCTCTGGCTCCAGCACTATCAGCCATTGGGGTTTGTGAGCGGTGTCATGTTGAAAGTGGTGGTGTGTACTTCCTTTTAGCGCATGTTCTAGGACAGCGGAGTGGAGGAACAATTGGAATTCTTTACTCTTTTGGAATGGTGAGGTGGTGATGAAATGATGCATTGGCATCTCTTATCACCAAAAGATAGCTCATGTAGCCTCTAAGGGATCATGCAGAAAAATGTGGAAAACCTTAAGGGTCCATGACTAGTTACAAGTTTCAAACTTAGAAAGGGTTGTAAAATTCCAGTTTCAAAATAGCAAATATCTGTTCTAATTTTCTTTCTCTCTTAGCCTTCCATTCCCATTCAGCCAACAAATTTTATCTTTAAAGATTTTTTTTAAATTATTTGATAAGAAGTTGATCACCATGGCTCACAGGTTTTATTCTTCTTAATCCTCTCATTTTCATTTCCATCAGGCCGTTAGCATTTCATTATTCTGTGCTGGATTTGGTGAATCCTTGGCGGAGACCACAGGCTGGGAAGGTCCATGGGCAGTTCGTGTGATTGGTCTGATTACTTCCTTGATCTTATTGGTTGTTGTTCTCGCTGGCGTCAAATGGGTCGTCAAACTACAGCTTCTCCTTCTTGCTATCCTTATGCTCTCTGTTCTTGACTTCCTTGTCGGCACCTTTGCTCATACTGATTATGGTAAGTGTCAGGAAGTGATAGAGAAGGCAAGGGGAGGGGAGGGTGGGGGTCTGTGTAATTACTGTCAAGAGATGATCTTTAATATTAAGTGACCTATAATTTGTGCCATGTTTATTAATTCTAATGATGGCTTGGTATTTGTACATTTATTTCTTTTGGCCTCTGTGTGAGTGAACAGTTTTGCCCATCTTTTCTACATTTTTGAAGTAAATGCATGTGTATTCTTCTATGACTGACTGGTGTCGAATACCTTAAGAGGAAAACTTTATTAATAAGGAATACAAGGGACCAATTCTTAACACAGAGTTAGAAATTATCTTCCAAAGCGTGAATAGTAAGTATGATATAGTTATTCTTGAAAAATAAATCACTTTGATATGTAAGAATTTGTTAGGTCCTTGTGTATCTCATCTGTACAGGGTGGTAAAAAGATCATCAAAGATCTTTTTAAAGAGATGAAACCCTTTTCATTGATTTTAAACCGGTACACTAAGTTCCCCAAAGATAAATAGCCACCAGGTAGGTTTTGTAAAAAGCTTAGGGAAGTTTCGTTTTATTCAGTAAAGTGACCTCTAAACACTCATCAATATGTTTTGTGTTTGTGGCATCTATCTCTTTCAGCTGCTGGTTTCACTGGCTATAGAACGGAAAATATGGAGAAAAATGCCCCGCCCAAGTTCTCTGAAGGGCAGAACTTCTTTTCTGTGTTTGGTGTTTTCTTCCCCAGTGCAACAGGAGTACTGGCAGGTATTAACATGAGTGGAGACCTCAAGGATCCCTCAAGTAATATTCCTGCAGGAACACTTGCAGCATTGGGCTTTAGGT